ATTTTTTTTTTTTTTTTTTTTTATTGTCTTAATGTGTACAACCACCAGTCCTGTTCTTACAGATGGAACTACACTAACATATATTTTCAAAACATGTTTGTATCCACCATATATAACTGAGCTCTTATACCTGTGATTCCAGCCAGAGAAAAAAAACAATGAAGCCTATAAACAGTATATATATATATATTTTTTTTTGCTATTTCAAAGGAAGGAACAAATGGCAGTGTGGGGAATCTCACAGAGCGCCTAATAGTTCAAAGTCCATGTACACATTTGCTTTGTTAATAACTATATTTTTATACAAAGTGGCCTCAAAATAATGTGGCAACCTTTTAATTTTAATATAAATTATCATACTGTAACAATTAATTTTAAAAACTATGTGTGTATACAAGAAATGTATATATATATATTTGTTATTTATATTTTTTATATATAATATTTTTTTTTAAATTCATTTGAACATAAATTATATAGTAACATTTTACAATAAGGTTCATTAGTTAACATGAATAGCGTGAACTAACAATGATCAATGCATTTGTTACAGTGTTTATTCATCTTTGTTAATGTTATAATAAAAATACATTGGCTCATTGTTTGTTCATGTTAGTTCGCAGTGCATTAACTAATAATACAACCTTTGATTTAAATAAAGTATTAGTAAATCTTGAAATTAATATTAACTGAGATTGATAAATGCTGAAGAAGTATTGTTCATAGTTCATGTTAACTAAGGTAGTTTGTTAATTATTGAAATCTTATTGTGAAGTGAATATTGTATGTAACAAATAAACTGTGTGTGTGTGTATATATATATATATATATATATATATATATATATATATATATATATATATATATATAAAAAATGCTGGGTTGTTTCAACCCAAATTTGGGTCAAATATGGACAAACCCAAATGTTGGGTTAAAAATGTCATTTAAAATTTTAACCCAACTTTCACTTTCAACTGTACATTTTTTAATTACATTTTTAACCCAACATTTGGGTAAGTCCATATTTGACCCAAATTTGGGTTGAAACAACCCAGCATTTATGTGCATTTATTTACACATCCATACACCAACAGTACTGACAAATGATTCAAAAGTTCTTCTTTTGAACTTCCTCTGCAGTGCTTCTGTATTTCCACCGAATGAGAGAAACGCAGTGGTCACAGTGGAGAATCGCATGACTCCAGCAGGGTGTGACCAGAGATCTGTGAGAAGGTTGTTAACACGTTTACTATCCAAGGCCTCTCCCACACGCCCCCATATATAAACTCTCTCTCACACACACACACACACACACACACACACAAAGGTTGCTTTTACACCTTCTTGTTTAATCATCTACTATTGCAAACAGCAACATATATGCCTCTCTACAGAGTCTCTGACTTTTAGTTCAACTGGAGAAGGCAGTGCCAGGCATAAAAAACATAACATCTGTCATAAACCATAAGTAAATAGGTCAAATTTTAATGCAATGGGAAGGAGAGGGAATTACTCAAAATGTAGGAAGTAACACAAATGTAGAAAACGGTTTTAGTCTGTGTCAGCCTGACAGTCTTGAACGCTTTTAATAGCTAATAAATAGCATTAAGAATATACAAATGGAGGGTGATATTTTAAAGTTTGTAAGGATATAGATTTTGATGTGTTTTGTGTGGTGATTTAATGTCCACAATGAGTGTTCTTGCAGGGAAAGGCCAACACCCTGCCTTACAATATGTCACCTGGTAATGAGTATTTGATCGCTTCATCATCATTCATCCGGCAACAACTTCAGTGATGTACAACACAAAGCAAACGAATCTAGCGATGATTGGTCTAGAAACATTGTTTGAAACAGCCCGATGAACCATGAGCAAATATCTAATATGACTCTGACCAATGGCAAACATGCTTCCTCTACTGTGTTAAAGCTGTCTAATCAAATGGAGATAATCTGATGGCACAGTTGAATTACGAGGTTTTTTTTAGATAGAAAGCAAACTAGTTCAATTAGTATATTATGGTAAAACTTAATTTTACAGTGACCTTATTACACGTTACTGTCGTATAACTATATATAATGCATAATTATTACATGCAACTAACCCTGAAACCAACCGCTAACCCTAACCCTATAGTAAGTACATGTAGCTAAGTTAATCAATATTACTCAGTAGCCTAATTAAATGTAGGCTATAATTTCACTGTAACACAAAGACCTTACAATAAAGTGTAATTATCAAATAAATATGACAACTGTGAAAACGATACAAAGCTTTGCCCAAGAAATAAGAACATTATAAGCAATACCTAAACACAAATGCCTAATAATAATAATAATCAAATAATGTAATAAAATATTGTCGCTAATAGCATAAGAGACTATTGGCACAGACATTGTGTCTCTATTGTGTTCGTTGAATTGGTTTTACATTGTGGGGTCAAAGTACGCGGAGACAGCCTGATAAAGACTCTCTTTGTAGTGGCCTAGAATGTCATAAATTGGCTAGTATATGAAATTTCATATAGACTACAGCCGCCTGTAGGAAAGCACCCATTCCCGTAAATAATTGTAAGGCTGTGATTTCGATTTTTAACTTGTTTATTTCGATTGACGGTGATGTTGAATTTGCTTCAATTCAATAAACAGCAGTGTATAGTGATAATAACTGTGATATGGCTAATGTTTGTGACAACCGCGCACTATCCTGAAATATCCCATGCTCGCAATATTACATGCATAAATGCAAAAGATTTGTCGCTTATGTTCACTTTAGTGCAAGATATTATAACCTAGGCTACACATTTAGGGTAAATATAGGCCTGATTTTGCGTCTTTGTGTCTAATGAAAATAATAGCTAATAAAAATAATAAGCATAATTATTATTCCCATAATTGTAGGCATATTATTAGTATAGCCTAACTATTGTTTGTTAGTGCGATTTGTTCATAAGACTAGGCTACTATTTGTTTTAACCATTTTAAAACGTTTGTTGTCAGCGCTGCAGGGAGAGGAATTTGTTTGAATAGTTCAGATCACAGATGCAATTCTATGTCAGCAATTTCGTTTTCCTTCTGAAAAGAGTTAGTTTCGGTCGATCTAAAAGAAAAGCCAGCAGACGATCCGATCGCAGTGCGTCTTTGATGATTCCTCGTTTATTCGGAGACAGACACACATCATGTCAGACAGCAGATCATCTATTCACACGTGCTCTTATGAATCTGTCTGGAAGCCAGACAAACACTAAAATCGCAAGTGACTATGCAGAAATCTTTTTATTTATTTTTTATAGCACGGGCGCATTTTTTTTCATATACGCAGACGAGAGCAATATTTAGGCTATTTAAATAGTATTGACTAGGCTAATCATCCCTTTGCGTATAATAAATGCATATCCGAAATACATAAAACAATTTTTTGAACTGTTTAAGAGTCAATAAAATGGCTTCAGGTTCTTGTTTTTGGGCGTAAAAAATTATGTATCAATATATCAACTATTGTTAATAATATATCAATATATAGGCTCAGTTGTGTTGCAAATAATACAATAATTCAGTGTTGGTTATCGAATAAACTGTCCAACAAAAGAGTCAGAGACCCTCTCGACTTCTGAATGATTAATCCAATTGGCGTCCTCCAATACCTGATCAGGTCACAATACAATGTATATTCTGCCTGAATGAATTATCATCTGTTCAAAGTGAAGCACTCAGTAGTGCCTATTGCCCGCTGGGTGTTTGTGTAGGATCCTTTACTATCCTAAATGATGCCCCATCGTCTTAGATGAACTAATTAGCAACGAGCCCAATTTGCATAGCATAGAAAAGGCTCGACATCAAAACAAATAGAAAAGTGATTTCATCATTCTGTTTGCGTGATTTCCCTCACAGTATATACTAAATAATATTCCATAAAACACAATTATATATACAACTATAAAATATTATTCATTAGTTGCGTTAACTGCGTATTAAAAGTTTTTTATATAGCCTACTTTTTTTTCTCTTAAATACTTAGGCTATCCTAACTTTTTTAAGTCAGTAGGCTACATAATCGGTTTAATGCGAATCGGAAAACTAAGACTGATTACCTCGTCTGCTAGTTGGTCAAACTAGTTATTTTCTTAACACAAGTTTATTCAACCAAGTTTAAATAAATATTTTAATGATCGAAAAGGCATTTTGCTGCTCGCTCACATTTTGTAGACTGCAATTTATATAGCCTAGCATAGGCTACTTGTTTGGAAGTAGCCTATACGCTAATTCTTATTATTCTTATTAAAGAACTGTTTTAAATTACACCGAAAATGTATGAATTCAATACATAACTAACCCTAACCCTAACCCTAACCCTTTCAGGGAAATTTTAGCCTATATAAAAAATATATAGTTTGCTTGTCCGCTAAAGCAATTAAAAACACGTCCCTTCCCTTTGTGAAAATGTAGTCAGATTAATAAGACTTGCATTTTCCATTCGATATCAAGGACATGCACACTAAGTAAGGTGTAAAGTGAAGCGTAGCACCCCTATCGAGCAGATGTGTTTGCTCAAGCTGGAGTCCAATCATGGCTCGGAGCGCTCGAGGCGCCGCCTCTCTTAAACATCGTCACGAGTGAACAGAAAACTTTCATTCCTAATAGTTCTCCAAGTCCTGCAACCACAGAACCGCTGGATCCTGCGAACACCAACTTATGGCAAACCACCAATAGGTCAGTGGTGTCTTTTTCTTCCCTTATCCGAGTCTTGATTATAAATTTCCTTCCCAGCTCTTGCCTTGGTGCTGAGTTCGGTGCCAGCCGAGGAGTCTAAATCATTTTGGGATTATTTTTATCCTGCCTCTCTCTCTCTCTCTCTCTCTCTCTCTCACCCTCTCTCTCTCTCTCTTATCTGCTGTGGGTCTTATCAAGTGGTTATCTCTTTTCTGCAAAGACATATTACGTTTTGTTTCCTATCTGTTTTTTTTTTTTTTTTTTTTTTTTTTGTAATTGTGATGAGGCTTCATCAAGAGGGAGGACGGATTTGCGACACGGATGGATTCAGATCTTCAGTGTAAAGCCCTGTATGGGGTGTGTATGTGCGCGCGCGTTTGTTTTCCTGGAATTAAGTGAAGTTGTGTGTTCGGTCATTCATGTCATGCAGCTCAACTTTTAATTTTAGAATACTACGAGATGTCACAATAATCATGAATGATTTGAGTAAGTTTGTAGCTGGACCAATGTGTGCTTTCTGAAGTGAAACTGTCTCCGCGGTAAAAGAAAAAGTGAACATAGCCTTTATCATAATTCATATTTTAAGTGCTAAATAGCAATACACAATCAGAGGAACTTTAACAGTTGGATAAGTTTATTTACTTTATGCTTTGAGCTCCTCTTAAATTATCTGACATTATAGTGCTATATATATATATATATATATATATATAGGCTATTGCGTTCTCGCAACCTTTTTTTTTTTTTTTTTGAAGACCATTTCCCATTACGCTCTATATTCCAACATTTTTATGTTCTCATTTTCAGTGCACTTTTGCCTCTCCATTTTCCACACACTGTGAGATATAAAAGGGATCCTGGATGGACCTGGGTGATAACAGCTGGTCCATGGTCAAGCGCGAAGTGTCCAGCAGCAGCAGCCCAGGGTCTCCGGCTGAGCAGAGCTACCTGAACACTGACCGGAGGGACCGGCTGAGATCCCCGACGCCGACGCACCTGGACACGGTGGGAACCCGTCGCGCCGAGGCCAGGCCCCTACACTCCTACGTTCACTTTGGACATCCCAACAACGCCCTGCCCAATTCTGACGACGTTACACTCTTCACGGATTTAGACCAGGGCAACAAACTCATCATCTCAGGTGGACACACCAGGGAGACGCATAAGGGAGGCCTAATTGTGGACCCTACCGACATGTATCAGACACTGGCCATCGCCGCGGCCCAGAGTCAGGCCGGTTATACCGACTCTCCATCGGCCAGTTACATGCACTCCAACCCTAATTCTCCCGTTTATGTGCCGACGTCTCGCGTTGGAACGATGATACCGAGTTTGTCCTACCTACAATCCGGGGTGTCTTCCCAGCCGAGCCACGCGGTAAGCAGTCATTCGGTTTGGTCACAGTCCGCACCGGAGAGCCCGTCCTACAGCACTGGAAGCCCGCATACCTCCAACCGTTTCCACTACTCCCCTAGTCCGCCTATGAATAACGGCACATCGAGGGATAACAACTACACTAACCCTCTGAATGTAAACGCTCGAGAGCAGTACCTTTCACGACCAATAAGTGGATCTTACACAAGCCCGTACCCTCCTTATGTGGCCCCGCAGCTCTCACAGTTACCGGCGGCGTGGCCCGCGGGGCCCTTCGAGAACTCCATGCTGCACTCCCTGCAGTCAAGAAGCGCGCCGCTGTCCATCCGGGGGCCCAACGGGGGTAAGCTATGGCCATTCATTCATATTTATATCAAAATGTATTTTCTGGCTGTGAAATTCAAAACTCACGTTTCCCTCACATTTCTGGCAGTCTGTGAATAATCCATTTTTTTTCTTCATTATTTTAAATGTTAAGGCGCATTTGTAGCTAATATGGCGCCAGTCTCACAGGTAGATCTTTATTTTTTATTTTTTTTAAACATTAACCATATATTTGTGATATTTAAATCTATAATATTGTTTTATATAATACCAGTACTTGTGTTCGTTAGCATCTGTTTGGGCGACAGGTGAAAATACGAGCATTACGAGAATTTAACTTCCATCATTACAGAAACGTTTGAAACACCATGTTGAACCTTTTAGCTATTGGCTACTTGTGTGTAAAAATATAAACTTTTAATAAGACCTTCCAAAGTATTGAGGGGTACATATCAAAATATGTAATAGCTAATTGATGGAAGAAAAAAAAGAAAAAAGGAATGGACAAATTTACTAATTCTAACGTTTCAAATAACAACGTAATAAAACAACAGTGGTAGATAATTGTGTAGTCTGAAGAAACTTTTAATGAGAACGCCATTGAAATGTAAGTTTTAAAAAAAATGGTTAACGAAGTTCTCAATTTTCAGCCCATGGCTTCTAATATTCCTTATATAACTGTGCGTAAGTGTGCACATGTTAATATAATTAATTGTAATTATAATAAAAATGTGCAGGCAATTACAAGCAGCTCTGAAAATAAAGTGCTTATAGGCTATTCCAGATTTCGTGCATGTGTACATTTGGAGATCAGTTAAAACGAGAAAAGAGGGTTACCCTTTATTTTAAAGTTTCACTGTTACAGTGTAATTATATATTTAAGTACTGAGTAATATTGATTAACTACACGTAGGCCTATACTTACTCAACACTATAGGGTTAGGGTAGGATTAGAATTTGGTTGAGGGTTAGCTGCATGCAATTATGCATAATTTACTGTTCTTGCTATGGTAAAAAAAACATTAGTCACACCTGTCATTAATGCTATTAGTCTGTTGCAATGTGTCAAGTCTGCGCAATTCATTTGGCGCACATTGAAGTTGATGGTGAATAGTGATGTTGACTGACGGGGCGACCTGTCTGTGTGTTTAGATTTGCTGGACGACATGATGGAGAGCCGGGAGTGCGTCAACTGCGGCTCCATTTCCACCCCGCTGTGGAGACGCGACGGCACGGGTCACTTTCTCTGCAACGCCTGCGGTCTCTACAGCAAAATGAATGGACTCAGCCGACCATTAATTAAACCTCAGAAGCGTATGGTGAGCATCGTCTTGATGAGCTACTTAACCACTCAATTTCCTGCCTATTTATTTCAAACAATAGCCAGAGGTTATCTGGGAACATCTTCACAGGTCTACTCCCATAATAAACGCTATTTTTATTGGCTAGACAAGTTTGCAGGTTAAGTGTTTAGGCTACAAAAATACAGTGTGCAAATTTTTTTTAAATTATATAGCCTATATATTTAATATTTGTCTAATCGAAGGCGAAGCCCCTTTTCATTTTAATTGTTTATGCAATGAAAGTGACTTAGTATTGCGCGTTGAATATCTGAAACATTAAATTAACAGCAGAAATTAATAACATAGATTTCTGCCATTTTAGATTAATAAATATGATAAGCTTGATCTTTATGATGATCAATTAATGACATTGTGAATTGCTTTTGTCTCAGTCTTCTTCGAGGCGGATCGGCCTGTCATGCGCAAACTGCCAGACGAGCACGACGACACTGTGGCGCAGAAACGCGGACGGCGAGCCCGTGTGCAACGCCTGCGGACTTTACACAAAGTTACATGGGGTAGACTATAATAGATTTTCCGTCTAAACAAGATACTATTGAAATAAAACAATTTGATACAATTAAAATAAACGCGATGCTACATATGTGGTATCAGTAGGCTACAGTATTTTACAATCTGGATTCATGTGGGTTTTTTTAGGTGCCTAGACCCCTTGCCATGAAGAAAGAAGGCATTCAGACAAGGAAAAGAAAACCTAAAACCCTGAGCAAAACAAAGGGATCGTCTGGTATGTTAAGTGATACAAAATCCAATGTGTTATTCCACCATGCAAGTGTGCAGGTCAACTGACTTGTTAAAATAATTCACAGGAAGTAGTTCTGTTCCCATGACTCCAACATCTTCATCGTCTTCTAATTCAGAGGAGTGCACTAAGAACAGTCCTTCATCTACGCAGGTGCCTGTAACATCAGTAAGTTCAAGTCCCTTATTTTTCCTTTTCAAAGGCTGCATTTGTGTTAAAAATGCAGCATTACAATGTTACAAACCTTACAGATAAAAAGTTGCAGGAACACTTTATTTCGATAGACATTCAACTAACTATAAATAACTTTGCAACTACATGTCAACTAGCAGTCATTAGAGTGTTAATAGACTGTCTGCTTAAAGGGACAGTTCACCCCAAAATTAAAATGATCCCATGATTTACTCGCCTTCTTAAAGGACTTTCTTCTTTCAGCCGAACACAATCTGAGTTATATTAAAACATATCCTGGCTCTTCCGAGCTTTATAATGGGAGTGAATAGTAACTTGGATTTTGAAGCCCAAAAAACTGCATCCAACCATCATAAAAATAATCCCTTTGGCTCCAGGGGGGCCTTCTGAAGCGATCTGTTTTTGTAAGAAAAATATTAATATTTATAACTTTTTAATAACTATAATCACTGGTTTCTGGTAACGGTCGTACGCAAGTCTAGTTCCCGCAGAAGAGTGACGCATCGCTTCGCTTCAGAAGGCCTTTATTAACCCCTGGAGCCGAATGGATTACTTTTATGATGGATGGATGCACTTTTTTGGGCTTCAAAATCCAAGTTACAATTCACTCCCATTATAAAGCTTGGAAGAGCAAGGATATTTCTTAATATAACTCTGATTGTGTTCGGCTGAAAGAAGAAAGTCATATACACCTAGGATGGCTTGAGGGTGAGTAGTAAATTATGGGATGATTTTCATTTTTGGGTGGCTTAACCCTTTAAATATCTGCTAACACTTTATTTTGATGCTCCCCAACAGACATTCGACTGACTATGAGTAACTTTGCATCTACATGTTAACTTATTCTACTAACCCCAACACCCAACGGTCTACTAATACTCGAATGCGAGTTAGTTGACATGTAGTTGCAAATAAACAAGAGTCAGTGGAATGTCTAAAGTGGACTATCATTCTGGTGTTTGATAAATGATTCCTCTGCGTTACTCATAAAACTTGCAACATTTTGTGCGTTCAAGGCATTGTTCAAATAGACCATTTGAGTGCAGCAACATGGTTGGCCTTTTATTCGTCATGCTAACGTTCACTGGTTTGATCCAGGTCAACTCTTCGACGCTGCTGGGCCAAGTCGATGTCCAATGCACGACCGGCTCCATGGTGAAGTACCCCGGCCAGGAGAGCCTGTACACGAATGTAGGCCTGACGTCCACAGCTGACGTGGCAACCTCCGTGAGAGGGGACACTTGGTGCCCCATGGCCTTGGCCTAAACCCTGGCATTATGGGACGGGAGCCATTTGCTGTCCTTCAGCTCTCTAGAACATCGCTTTCGGCGTTGTACTTAAAATCTGGCAGGGTGTGGGGGTTGTCATCTGTTTTCGGTCTGTGTTCATGATCTTGAGCAGAGGCCTTATCTGTTCCAAATACTCCAGTTTTTGATTCACCCCGTGGAATACTGGACGTCCATGATGGAGATTATCTATGAGGACAACACTTGAGAGAGAGAGAGAGAGTCGTCTTTAACATGCCTTTGGTACTTTCAGAGCACACCCTGCACCGTGAATGTTGCTTGGAGGAGTAAGTGGATCAAAAATCATTTTCTTTTTTTAAAAGTAGATTTGTACATATTAATGCCAACGGATACTTCGCCCATCTGGAAAGACAAGGTTGTTGGTTGGATTGTGGTGATCTGATGAAAGAGAGAGAGAGAGAGAAAAGGTTGATCTTTCTGAAACTGGAATTGAAGATTAAGTGTCAAGGTGTTCTTATTGACAAATGCCAACATATTTATGAAGCTACCGTTGTTCAAATAATGCATATATTTGTCAATAAAGATAATGTCAAATAGAGTAGGACTGAAGCCTTGCCCTTCCTTTTAAATCTTTTTTGTTTGTTGCAGTGGACGTCGCTCACAAATCTGCACACCTTCTATGTGAATTTTAAAAGAAAATGAGACAAAAAAAAAATAAAGCTCTTATAAGATTGAACTGATTTGTGATGGTTTAACACAGGGTATCAACGATCGCAGGAACTCGCACGAGACTTGCTCGGTTCGACGGTTTTTTTCTAGAGATCGCTATCAAATTAATATGGTCTAATCAAACAAAAATAGTTTTCGCGTAAACTGTTTCGGAAGTGTGAAGAAATCTGAACGTAAATCATCAGCAAAGCATAAATATAATGACCGTTATATATCTCTGTTTGAACAAACAGCACTCAGGATTTCTTTTCTGATGTGTTTTTTTTTTTTTTTTTTTGTTACAACACAAAACTGCAAAAAAAAGGTTTTGCTGCAGTGATTTTGGATGTATAAGACTACCTAACGGCATTGATGTGAAATATCAATGCAAATTTCTGTTTTTTTTTTTTTTTTTTTTACTTTCAGTGATACACCTCTGTGGTCACTACTTTAGCTGATGAAGGGACAATGTTCAATCTGGATCTTGCTTTCACAATTTATTGAATGTTTTAGAGAGAGTAATGTGTGCCAGAATCAACCAGTAGTGAAGGTTTCTTGTGAGTCGCCATCTGACATCATGACAGTAATTAATGAGTTGAATTCACTCGTGAAAGAGTTCAGTCTCGAGTGCTTTTGATTTACGGCCTCTGATCTGTTAAACAGTTACCCAACTACAAGTTTCCCGTGTAAACATCTCATGGCTTTGAAATTGGGGATTGAAGGGGTACCGGAAGAGCCTTTCTTCACACGATGATGAGTGAATCCGTGACATTTTCGGACAAGCTTTTTTTTTTTGCGTCATAGCGATGCCGTGTGAACGACACAAGAAACATTTCGCTATCGTTGTGATTCGCCACCTTTACAACCTCTACAGTTATTTATTTCTGTAATGTAGTGTGTTTGTAAAAGGTGTATTGTATTTTAATTAACATGGTTGTATTTTTTTTTTCAATTCCAAATTATTCTGATTAATCTGTTAAACACAGATTTATTGTTTTGGTTTTGTCTTGAAAATATCCAAAGCATTTGTTGATAAAATTGTGTTTTATCTCTTTTAAAAAAAAATAGATTTTGAGGTTCAGACCTTCCATTTGTTATGAAATGGTTTTTCACATGAACCACTGGAACCACATAGTTTTGATAAATTTAATCAAAATGATTTTCCTTTTTTTTATTGTCATCACCAGTCATAAAGCAAATAGTAAAATGTTCTTAAACTGATTGACTCTCCCTTCTGTTTTCCAGTGTACAGAGTATAAGAAGGATGTCATTGTTAATTTTTCTTTCTTTCTCAGATTAGTTCATTAACACTGGAACAATAAATAAGAGCCATGACTAAAGATGTTTTTTCCCTTCCCTTATTTTTCTTTGAATTGTTTTAATTTAATGAAGTATTAATCCATATTGTCAAAACAACAACGCTTATTTTGCATTGATTTTCGAGTCATGTACTCAATTGTACTCATAGGCCAGATGTTTGCTCATGGGTCACGGATCTTTTGTTTTGTTTTGTTGGTACACTGAAGCGAATTAAAAACTTGAAGTTTGTATTTCAACAATAGTAACTTTTCACGAATGTGTTTATTTATTTCGTTTGTTTTTTGTTTCATTACAATTACCTTAATTGCATTTCGTAAATGATAAGCATTATCAATAATGGATTTGGGTCAACATGAACATCACAGATAAAGTTGTGCGTTTAACATTTGGAAGACTGCTTTAAACCAGAGCCCGGCCCAAATGAAGAATTGGTTTATGTGAACTTTGACATTTGAATGTGCTGATCTTTGCCTCAAGGTTGGACTTTGATTTACGACCGATTGATGACGTCTCGGCCCCAATAGATTGGAGGTCTCTGATGTAATTCCCTGTGATGCTGGTGAAACAAACATGTTTTTGCAAGAAAGCATTGAAAGGAATCCCAGAACCAGTTGTTGTATTGTTTCTTTGTCATAAATGTCTCTTTTTTTTGTAGTACATTCAATATAAATGTTCCTCTCATTTGTTTGAAATCTTTCTTTGCATTGTTCACGTTTTGGTTTCGTCTAAACCCATAAAATCTCTTTTAGACCTGTAACTTTTTTTTAGAACGAGTTCCTTTCCCATGTGTTGTTCTTCCTTTATCTGTTTGTCAATTGCGACACTATCACACCAGCCCAGACTAGCATTTCCACAGAGCAAAAGTTGCTCCCTGCTGCCCTTTTGAACTACGTTTGCCCTCTTTGCTTCAGAGAGAAGTACCAGCCACAACATAAAGCTCAATAACTCAGAAACACACACCATTAATAACAGCTTTGGCACGGCCCAACAGAATTCACTTAGACTGCGCTAACGTCACATTACATTCCAGCTCTCCTCTCCTGTCACCTACCGTTCCAGTGTTGATTAAGATTTATCCTGATGCATTCTGGTTATCTGCCCTGGGTGTATGACATACTGCTATGAGGTTTATTGGGGGGCTGGGATCTGTGAAGGATTTCAGCAAATTCTTCTCTTAGTGATTTAAGGCAGGGAGTGGCAATCTTTGCCAAGACGCTCCACGCAAGCGCAGTTCTATTGGTACAAGGTGGTATTGCATATATGACTGTTTAAAAAAAAAAAAATATGTGTGAGCTACACAGGAGAGGTGAGACCCATAGTGCCAGAACACTGCTTTGCAGAACAAAACTATTCTTTATGAGCCCCCCCCCCCAAGTTTTGTCTAAAGTTTCCAGTTTAAATATCTAAAAAGATAAATTTACCGAAAAAGCAACACTTCTTTCTCCTGCAAGGATCTCCTACAAGTATGTTTTGTCTATCATTCTGTACCGGCAGATTTTTTCACTTGTTGTAAAACAAGTTAAAGTGAAAAGTCTGCCAGTGCAGATAGACAAAATAAACATAGATTTGAGGCGCCGTCTATGAAAACCTTATATAATAAGCAATAACTAAATGTATGCGGTTTTAAGAATTTTTTGATATTTTTACTGGAAAGCAAGTCAAAGAGTTTTGTTGTAATGTTTATTGGTATAACACTTTATTTCGATGGTCCACAACTTTGCAACTACATGTCAACTGACTCTCATTAGAGTATTAGTAGACTTTACTAGACTGTTAGGTTAGGGTTAGGTGTTAGGATTTGGGTTAGTAAGTTGACATGTAGTTGCAAAGTTACAGTCAGAAATTTGTCCTCTGGCGGACCTTTAAAAAGAAAAAGTTAGCAGATATTTATTAAGCAAACAGTCTACGTATACTCTAATGAGAGTTAGTTGACATGTAGTTGCAAAGTTACTTATAGTTAGAATGTCTACAGTGCACCTCTGAAATAAAGTGTTACAGTTTATATTATTTTTAACAGCTTTGTTATTCGTGGAATGATGCTTGGGACACTTTGCGGGGTGATTTGATTACAATTTGGTTGGGGCAGAATGTTAAAGGCCCACTGAAGTGTAGCTTTGGATGATGCGTTGACGTAATTTCCACTGAAACAGGAAGCTACGGCGGGACATGTTGAATGGCTCCTCCCCCCTTTTCAAATAGCCAATCGTGCTAATGAGCGTCACCTGCGCGACACACCGGTCTCGAGTCTAATGGAGGAGCTCCGGAAGGATAAAAGGAAGTGACAACAGTGAAGGATGAGAGAGGACCAGGCCTGGACTTTGCGTTGTGTTTTGTTTATGTTTGTGCAGCAGTCGTCCGTGAGGGGCTGCCGCTTTACTTTTGTTTTGTAGTTTGTTTATTTTTTGATGTTACATTATCATTGTGTATCAGACATTGCCACCTTGTGGAATAAAGGTAAATTGCATTTATATTTATACAAATAAAATATACTGACACTGTTACACCCCTCGGGTCATTAGTGACCCTATACAAAAAATGAATGGGAAAACAGGCATTCTTTTATAATTGTATAATTTTTTTTTGTTAAATTGTTTATAGTGAATTGATTAAAGAATACTAAGAATGTTGTTGTCTAACTCTAAAAAAAATTCACGAGGAAGAGTGTAGTGAATGACGTCCCGGGTCACTTAAGACCCGAGGTATGCCTTTAAGGGTTAATGTTTATCGCATTATTTATAGTGTGTTTTCCCATGATGGTGTGTTGTGTTTGTGTGTACGACATTGTGCACCGTATGTATAATCATATTGACTTATGATAAAATTGATTCATCATGTGGCTTTCTCTTAATCACCTGTGTTTTTAAAGTGGTTGTCGATATATTATAAAGGTAAAAACCACAGTTTAGTAATTTGGTACATTTACATTATTTCAGTGAGATAACTATAACTAACTTTGCAACATGTCAACTAACTCATTAATTTTCAACTACATGTCAACTACCAGTCATTAGAGTATTAGTAGACTGTCTTAATATCTGCTAACTCTTTATTTTGATGCTTCTCAACAGACATTCTACAGACTATAAGTATCTTTACAACTACATGTCAACATATTCTATACTAACCATAACCCTAACAGTCTACTAATATTCAGAAAGTTAGCTAACATGTACCTTTAGTTGCAAATTAAGAAAAGTTAAGTTGATATGTAGTTGCAAAGTTACTTATAATGTCTAAAGTGCATTATCGAAATAAAACATAACCCTAAATTACACATTTTAATACTGTGTGGTCTAAAATGTACATTCAATACGACAGTAGTGCTTTCAATATATCAATCCCAAAGAATATTTCTACTCCAACCCACAGCTGAGGACAGCTTCACAATACCAAACATGCTCAGAATATTTCTTGGTCTGTGACGTTTGGGACAAGACACTGAATTCCTAGAAATATATCCACTAACTTTAATAAAAGAGACACATCACACAACTGAAACAATCACCATCTTTTGAGTACTTATACAGAAGAATAAGAAATATGCTGAGAATATGTTCCACATATGTATAT